TTGACCAGCCTGGGAATGAAAATGACCATTTAAAAGACTCCCTGGTGAGAGGTCAGGTAGTTGTTTGTGGGGAATAAACTGAAACACTCATAGAACCTGCTGGAGGGTCTGAAGCAGTAAAGCCTTCCTAGGTTTCCAAGACAGGGAGATTCATAGATTCATAGACTCTAGGACTGGAAGGGACCTCGAGAGGTCATCGAGTCCAGTCCCCTGCCCTCATGGCCAGACCAAATACTGTCTAGATTGTCCCTGATAGACATTTATCTAACCTACTCTTAAATATCTCCAGAGATGAAGATTCCACAACCTCCCTAGGCAGTTTATTGCAGTGTTTAACCACCCTGACAGTTAGGAACTTTTTCCTAATGTCCAACCTAAACCTCCCTTGCTGCAGTTTAAACCCATTGCTTCTTGTTCTGTCCATAGAGGCTAAGATAAACAAGTTTTCTCCCACCTCCTTATGACACCCTTTTAGATACCTGAAAACTGCTACCATGTCCCCTCTCAGTCTTCTCTTTTCCAAACTAAACAAACCCAATTCTTTCAGCCTTCCTTCATAGGTTATGTTCTCTAGACCTTTAATCATTCTTGTTGCTCTTCTCTGGACCCTCTCCAATTTCTCCACATCTTTCTTGAAATGCGGTGCCCAGAACTGAACACAATACTCCAGTTGAGGCCTAACCAGCGCAGAGTAGAGCGGAAGAATGACTTCTCGTGTCTTGTTCACAACACACCTGTTAATACATCCCAGAATCGCGTTTGCTTTTTTTGCAACAGCATCACACTGTTGACTCATATTTAGCTTGTGGTCCACTATAACCCCTAGATCCCTTTCTGCCGTACTCCTTCCTAGACAGTCTCTTCCCATTCTGTATGTGTGAAACTGATTGTTCCTTCCTAAGTGAAGCACTTTGCATTTGTCCTTATTAAACTTCATCCTGATGGTAAGCCATAGGTAAGATAGACATGTGCACCGCCCTTTTGTTGTTTTAAAATCCTCTTTATGTTATGCTTTATTCCTACTGCTAAGATTAAACAATACTTTGATTTGAAAAGGCTGTCTGGTCAGTGTATTTACTGCTGGTCATGGGCTCCTGAAGGGAAGAACCGCAGGTACCCGAACCCAGTTGGACCCGTTAGGGAAAGCACGGTTGATCCACCAGATACTGTAGCCAGGACCCAGTCTAAAAGTGGGAGAATTGTAGGATTCTGCCCCAGGATAGGTAAAGGCTTGGAGCCTAACACCTGAGGGGCTGCACTCAGAGACTGGGGAGAGGGCAGAGGTGCCGCTAGTCTTGAAACCTTGACATGCAGCAACAGCTCCAATATATGATGTTTCTGTGTCCATCCTGCTTGGCTTAAAGTGAAGCCACTCTCATACCGTGGCAATGTGTGACCTTATACAAGTAGAAGTGATTGTGATAAGAATAAAAACCAAGAGTAAACAACTTTAGGGTGGGTAGCAGGGAGTTGTGATAAATATAGCCCCCTCCCTACTAGCTGTCAATCTCCACAAAAGGTGCACTAACCAACAGTATTTTTTGCAGGCGGCTTTTGGCACAGCAGCCTGATCGACAGAAACCTCATTGATTATTTTGTCCCCTTTCTGCCTCTGGAGTACAAACACGTGAAAATGTGTGTCAGGGTTGAACTTGAATCACGTGGCTACATGGTGGATGAAGAAATCATAACCAAAGTAGCTGACGAGTTGACCTACTTCCCCAAGGAGGAGAAAATCTACTCTGATAAAGGATGCAAAACTGTGTTCACCAAGCTGGATTTTTACTATGACTTATAATGTTTTACGAAGCTGTGATCTGCAAAGGAAAAAATGAACCTAATCACAAAGTGGAGAAACCGAAACATTTCATTTGTCAAGCACTTTTTAAAAAAAAAAAAAGGAACATTGTCATTTAATTGTCTGATGTAAATAAGTGGCAATACACTTGTCTTTTTATTCTGGGGGAGCCTTGTAATAGTCATATCTTCAAAAGATGTCAGTCCTGTGCCATGAAGTTAGGAAATAACTGTGCATGGAGCAGTCACCCCTTCCAGAGCATTGTCTAACAGTGTCTGTGGTTTATCTCAAATCATGGATTGGTTGATTGCTACAATTGTTCAGTGGAACACGGCTATGTACATTAGACCTGCAGTTTTGATCTGGTTTTAATTATTTGTAGAAGTGGTTTCCAGATGGTACAGAATATTTTAATCAAGGCCCTTATATCTGCAAGACCATTCCTAGGAGTTGTGGGTGGGGTATTTCCCAGACTGTCCTTTGAAAAGTGGATATGCAGGTTTGTTTGTTTTCTTAAAAATAACCACCCTTGGTGTTTCCAGCTGTATTGGAACCAAAGTGCAGGAGTGAGCCCGTATGTCCTTTCACCTAGCATGATGTAGTGCCATTTTTATAAAAACAAGGGTGTAAACTGTTCCTTCTGGTGCCAAACTGCATTAGGGGAAGGTCAGTATGTGAAACAAGGCTGAGTAAGAAGAGGAACTGCAGCAAAGTCATTGACTATGTCCCTGTAATGGAGTTAGTTCTTTCTTTGGCTGTTTGCTGTGAATTGTAGCAGTGACACTCAGTCACTTTCCTTTTCCTTCTTTGTGGTAACGAAGAAAAGGGCTGTTTACTAAAATCCAGTGTTTGGAGTTTGTTTCATAGAATCAGAGTAATTGGAAGGCAGAATCTGTTAAATCCTATTTAGTCCACGTGGCAGCTGTAAGATTTTCTTTAGTTTCAAACTTTTCTAAATGCAGAAAGCAGCAGTCTGGGTAATTTTTCACCCCAGTCTTACAAGGCAGTGCCATGTGGAAGGGGATGAAGACGGCGTCAACACTACCTGGGAAAATATTTAATTACAATAATGCCAAAGTTACTGCAGCCCATCTGCCAGTTTTATTTATAAATGCCAACACTGCTAAGTTTTTTCACTCGTTTCTAGCTCTCACAATTTCAAAATAAGATTTTTATCATTCCCTCAATAAAAGTTCTCACCAGTAAAATTTGTATACGGTACCTCTTTGCTAATTGCATATATTGAAGGGACTGCCTCATGGTTACCTTTGTATGTAAATTTACCATCTTACCATGCTTATTCTGCCTTCTGGTTAGAGGCATTCTGCTGTGCTTGATTACAAACTTTCATGTTCACTTTTTGCAGCTAGGACACAAAGGGGCTAGGTAGTGGGGAGAGAAATGGTTCTTTAGCCATTGCTAAAGATTAGCTAAGTCATTATGATTTGCAATATGAAGCAAGCAATTAGGGCAGACTGCTTGGGATTGTGCATGAACTTTCTAACGCTATGCTAGTGCAAACCCTGCTCCTGGCTCCTAGTAAGAGGAACAGTCTTCCACATGCTGTAGTCCCAACAGTATTCTACAGGTGCTTAAAACACGGACTGGATTTGTCCAGCTGATAGAGTAGATTAAAACCCCACTTCCTCTGTCTGCCCACTTCTTACTGTAGCTAGTCACCCACATTAGTGACATCAGTAAGTGATGATGGCCTTAGCTATGTCTACATTGTGCTGCAGGGCAGACCAGCGGTGTGTGAATTGCAGCAGGCACCAGGGTGCCGCATTATAACAGCTGTGGACGCTGTACCTAGTTTACATTAATATAGTCCTGTTTGAAGAGGACTATGTTTATGCAAAGTAGATACCTTTTAGTTCATTCCAGCAGTGTCCACATGGAACAGTTAAAGTGCAGCACTTGGTGTGTACTGCTTTTCACACCTCTGTAGAGAAATGAAGCAGCAGGATTCAAGCCTTTCCTGTTTGTTCTTGTTATATTTGGATAATGTAATTAACTTAAATCTGTTAGCTCATTCTCAGAGGTTCCCTTTAACCTGCTGGTTTCATAAACCCACCAGGAGCCTGAGTTTTTGAAACTCGCAGGGCTGACCAGCTGGAATAAGAGTGTAGTGCTCCAAACAGTCCCTATTTGCTGGCTTTTCTGAAATACATAAATTATGAGGATTACATTCTACAAGCTTATAGTGACATGATGCAATTAGCAGAGAGGGGAAGCAAGAAACTTCCATCACTGTCCCTGGTGGTTTCTGTTCAAGAAATCCTGCTCTCGTTTATATCGCAATATCCTAAACCTCTCACTTTCAATAGTGAAGAACATTATGCAACTCTGCCAAGTAATACTTTGCACTTCCATCTGTTAGTGAACTCAAAGCACTTAATGCTGTTAGATTCCTACCCCTGTGAGAGCACTGTGGGGAAGGGAGGAAAGAGCATTTGCCCTGTCTTGCATAGAACACTACTTTCCTGATTTCCCACTGATAGGATGTTTATACTGGGCTGCTGACATTTTAACCACCTGCTGTCTAGAGGATAGGGTGTTTAAATTCCAGCAGGTACTACCACAGTACTTACACTGTAACAGTGGGGAAAACTGCTTGTTGGGACACAAATCAAGTGGCCAGGTCAGAGTAACAGAGTTAGGACCAAGATCCTGCTTGAATACAGCCTACGCTGCCAGAAGATATGTGGCAAGTTACATTTCTACAGATTGCATCATAGAAAAAACTGGCAGGAATGCTGAAGCCTTGCTGTGAGAAGAGCAAACTTCCAACCACTCTTGCTGGAAACAGGTAAAAATGCAACCCTGTCAGCTAAATCCCCACCTCAGGTCTATCACCTGAAAGGAGCATTACTTCTCTGACCCAGGAAGGCCTTCTACCTCTATACTCCTGAATGGCACTTTTGCAAACTGCATTGGTGTGGTTGCACTGGGGCACCCTGCCGTATTAACTAGTGAATTCAACCAAAAGCTACAAGGAGGTCTAGTCTATCCTTACAAGGATACCTTATTTACCCTGGGAAGGAGCAGGTAAGTCAGCTGTTACTTAAAGATGGCCTGACTTCATTAGAACAAACCTGACCAGGAGGAACCTGAGATACCACAGCATGAATGCCTAGGCATTGAGCAGTAGAATGATAGTGTCTACCAGCTGGCAGTTATTAAATAAGTCAAAAGGCAGCTGAAGGATAAAAGACATTTATTGCAGCTATGACACTTAGAGTTTTAAAAACCGCAGGAGTACTTTACATTCAGAACATCAGAGCTGGGAGAGCTACCAGACATTTAGGGATGCAGTGTTTAGAATCTTTTTGAGGAAGAGTTACCAATCAAGGTAAAACATCACACATCAAAGCAACAGTCCAATGTCCCAAGGTTAAGAGCTAGTGTTAACTTCAAGTGATTGCATCAGAGTAAACAGTTTGTCACAGTTATGACAAAGCCACATGCAGGGTTATAAAAAAGTGTAACTGACTCCAATTTCAGAGGTTAATGTGAACATTTAAAGCTTTCTTGCTGGTAGTTTGAACAAAACCAGGCTTGATTTGAGACATTAATATAAAGCAGTTTTGCACACCATCTTAAAACAAGTGTCAATATATGAGGAGTTAATTCAGCAACTACATAATAAAATAATCAACTTCCTCCCAGGAGTCTTAGCTGCACTGGTATCATGCTGCACATACTATGTAGTTCACTTAATGTGTAAGTTAAGCTTTCTTATCCTCCATTTATGTAAAGGCACTTCCATCTCACAGCTGGGGAAGAGTAGGAGGGCGGGAGAGTTAGAAAGTTGAGTCTTTGGTGAGTAAGCTGCGATATGAAAATTCCACCCTTACTAGATGGGCGAAGGTTGATCCTCTCCCAGCTTCCTAACCCTGCAGGTTCCCATTTCACCTTGCTGCTGGGAACAAGATGTTTCACACTGACCGTGCCAGCTGCAGGTTCTCATTAATTTTACAACGTTGCTAAAAACTATTAAAAATAAGGCTAGGATAGGGGGAGGTTGTTCTTTGACCATATTTCCCATCCACCCCTTTCCCTTCCTGGTTCTATAGGAAAAGATTTTGTACTTCCACTTCAACAATCTAGTATAAAATAGTATCAAAAATAGACTATTCAAAATCATTTCTACTACCAGGTAACATTCAAGCAAGGGGTGTGTCTGGGGATGGGAAGGGGGATGTTGCTGGATTACGTGGCTGTGCCTCGGAGGGAATGTAACACCTTGTGGATCTCATGCCCACCCTTGTGCACAGATACTGACCTGACAAGTTGTAACAGTCAAACCCTCATGAATGTTTCCCCAGACACTTGCCTGCGGTGCTGTAGCAGTCAAACCCCTGGTGAACGGTTCCCCCCCACTGAAAGGGACAGAAATACCCATTGGCAGCCAAGCCCACAGTCACTTGGACTCCCTTTGATTCAAATTTCGTATGAGGAGGGGAAAGAAGAGAGAGTCTTTTGGATAGAGACTGTGGAGGGAAGCAACTAATTTCTCCCCAACCCAAGATTTCTTTGAGTTCACCTTAACGTTCCACATCACTAGAGCAGGAGGCATGGAGGCAGCTTAGAGTCAGAAACGAACCAAGGTCCTGCCTTTCCATCCCTGGAGAATTGACCTGAGCACACTACTACCAACCCTTTCCAGAGCACAAGGAGTCCTTCCAGCACAGCGGCATTTGAACTAGCAAAGTATCAAGGCCTCAACCCTGCTGCCGTTATCATGGACCCTGGACGCGCCAGCTGAAGTCAAGGCCAAAGCTCCCATTGATTTCAATGGGAATAGGACTGGACCTTCCATATGCTAGGAAGGGACTGTGGCCAAACGGAAGGATTCCTTCATTTTACTCCAGTTGTCTAGTAGAGAGGGTTGGAGGGAGAGGATGGAATTTTTAACAATCTCAGCTGTTAAAATACAATGCAGTAAAGGCTGGATCCAGTGATGAATGCTATGCTCAAACACTTCTAGAGTCTATCCTGGATTAAAAAGGCAACACTTGGGTACTGCCCGTTTAAGGAAGAGCACTGGGGTTTAAAAAAAATAAAAGAAATCAGTCATTCCTAGGATCCCTGCCACACGTCCCAAAATATTAAAAGTGCAAAGAGACAGACTTCAAAATGCCATTAAAAGTGCTTCAGCGAGGAAAGGGCATAGAGTTCCTTGTTCCACCTCAGTTCCATATTGCTCATAACCTCTCCCAATAAAACAACAGCTTCTGCAGCACGAGCTTGCAGCCTTTAACAGAGTAGATTTTCTCATCTTTTGGGAAGAATGTCATCTCCTTGGCCACCTCGTCAACGATCGCCTCGTTGATTTTCTTGCCACCGGACTCGATTTCTGCCCTGATGCACATCTTAAGATGCTTGTACTCCAGGGGCAGGAAGGGGACAAAGTAATCAATGAGGTTTCTATCGATCAGGCTGCTGTGCCACAAGCCACCTAGAAAACATCAGACGGGAGGTTGCTTAAATGGTCAGGGAGAACAAATGTAACATCTTAATGACAGTTCTGTCCTCCATTGTCAATAAATGCTTGGTCCTTGTTTTCTAGGTAGGTGATTTTACTAAATGACAGATGAACAGCCCCCAACACTTCCAAACATGAAAGGCCCATGCATTGCACCTAGGTCTTACACCACTAGGGAAATGATGTAAGATTTAGACTTTGATTAATATTTGTTACTTATGGCATTAGCTTGCACCAAGCATAAAGCAGGAATCTTCTATACACCATTCTGTCAGTGCACTTCATTCCTGATCTACAGCACCCTCTGCTGGTCCAGTTGCAGGTCTTCCCCCTGTGCAGAGGTCTTTGATTTTACTAAGTTATCTGTGGAGCCCTACCAAATTCACAGCCATGAAAAACACATCACAGACTGTGAAATCTGGTCTCCCACCATGAAGTCTGGTCTTTTGTGTGCCCTATACCGGGGTTCTCAAACTTCATTGCACCGTGACCCCCTTTGGACAACAAAAATTACTACATGACCCCCTGGAGGGGGGATGGGGGACTGAAGCCTGAGCCCATCCGAGCCCCGTCCGCTGGAGGGGGGAGAGGGCAAAGTTAAGCCCAAGGGCTTCAGTCCCAGTCAGGGGGCCTGTAATCTGAGCCCCAATGCCCAGGTGGAGAGGCTCAGGCTTTGGCCCCAGGAAGTCTAAGCCAGGCCTGGCGACCCCATTAAAACAGGGTTGTGACCCACTTTGGGGTCCCAACCCAGAGTTTGAGAACTGCTGCCCTATACTATACAAATTTCACAGGGAAGACCAGTGTTTCTCAAATTAGGGGGGTCGCAAGGTTATTTTAGGGGAGTTGTGGTATTGCCACCCTTACTTCTGTGCTGCCTTCGGAGCTGGGCGGCTGGAGAGAGGTGGCTGTTGGCCGGGCATCCAGCTCTGAAGGCAGCGCCCTGCCAGCAGCAGCACAGAAGCAAGGGTGGCAATAGCACACCATGCCATCCTTACTTCTGCGCTGGTGCTGACGGCAGCTCTGCCTTCAGAGCTGGGCTCCCAGCCAACAGCCGTCGCTCTCTAACAGCTCAGCTCTGAAGGCAGCACCATTGCGAGCAGCAACACAGAAGGGTAGCAGTACCGCAAATCCCCCCCGATAACCTTGCAACCTCCCCCCACAACTCCTTTTTGGGTCAGGAGCCCCTAAATTACAACACGGTGAAATTTCAGATTTAAATAGCTGAAATCATGAAATTTATGATTTTTAAAATCCCATGACCATGAAATTGACCAAAATGAACCACGAATTTGGTAGGGCCCTAGTTATCAGGTAGGCAGCTGTCTTCTAAGAACTAGGCTGGGATCATCTAACATCATTTTCGCTGGGACCTAAATTAAGTTATAAACTCAGGTCAATCTGCAGAGGTGAATGGTTAGTGCATTAGAGTCTTCCAGCCCCAGAAACACTGGGCATAATTTCTCCCTGAAACAAACATTCCATTGCGTGAGGACCTGATCCTGAGAGCTGCAGCATGCCTCCTGAAATGTGCCGACCACCCAGTGAAATCAATGAATTGTTGTGCTCAGTGCCTAGCGGTATCTGGGCCTAAGTGAGTGGGAATGTGTGTACAACAATATTACATGGGTTAAAGAGGCAAGCTGGAGCAGCACACACCAAACGAGGATGTTCTGTGTTTATGAAGTAAAAGAACCTCCAACTCATTGGGAAAATAACTCACTATTCTTATTATTGAAGACTGCTACAGATAACACAGGCTCCAGGTCTTTCAGCTGAATCTGCTTCCTGTCTTTTCCACTCCTCCAGAAGTCCAGAGCCACTTTATTAATTAAATCCGCACCTGCATTACTGTTCATAAGAGAAAGAGTTTAGTACAGACCCAAGATAGGAAGAGTCCAGTATCTCTTCTCTAGCAGGATTACATTTAACACTTGTCTGTTCTAATGTTTGTCTGCACAGCAAACATGTCACAAGAATAAAAAGCCTTAAACCAATGCTTAAGTCATTTAGGACTAAATTCCACATTGTCCCTACAGCGTTGTTTCTGAGCCACAATACCTCTTGCTCAGAAGAAATGGTCATGTAGCTCCCTCTCAAAAGAAATCATCAGCTCGGCACATGTGGTGGGCCCTCTGAGTGATGCAAAGTGGTCTCTCCACCACCCCGTAGTGAAGTATGATACCAGTGCAACGCTCCCAGCACATGGAATGAGGGACAGATTCAGGATCTGATCTCCATTCTGCTGTATAGCAGCGTGCTATTAGTAGATGAGACTACCAGATCGGCCCACTTTAAGGTGTTATGCACTACAGTCCTTTGCTGGATGGAGGCAGAATTGCTCAACTGTATCATAGGCCCTGCAATGCAGGCAGCTAATGGACTTTCTTCTTTAGCTCAGATAGCACATGCTTTTTGACAGAAGAAACTGGGCTCTATCCCTGCTGATGCCTGGAAGCTCTGAGTGGCCAAGACACATACCACAGTGACAGCGAAGGCCCGTGTGAGCCTGGATTTGCCACAGTAGACAGACCACAAACCTGAGAAAGATAAAGATGGCTCTCCGGTAGGACACCCCATCAATCTGCTCATAATAGTCTAAGAATGGCTTGATGGCATCAATGAGGCCAGGGTGCAATTTATCCATTTCATCAAATATGAACACGGACCTGGCACAGGCGCTCACATTACCCCGAATCCACGTTTGCAATTGATCCTGGAACAAATGAGAAACACACATTAAAAAAAACTAGGTCCCACTGGTAGAGAGCGCAAAAACCACCTGGGAGGGGGGGTGAGTAATGATCCTTTAAATGCTCTGATTATATCCAGCTTCCTGAAGGGAGGAATATGACCACTACCTCCACATGCTGCTAGAATGTGAATCCTGTTCCAGTTATTTGACGAGAGACACCATAAAGCACTTTATTTCCAACCTCAGTTGAGCAATCAAAGCATGAAGAGCAGGGTTCAAATGGAAGAGAGAAAAGACCATACAGGGGAAAGGAAGAAATTTCTTCTGCAGTACTACTTCTACCATCTATCAGAGGGGTAGCCGTGTTAGTCTGAATCTGTAAAAAGCAACAGAGGGTCCTGAAAATGAATCGATTTTTGGTGGTGGTTGTTTTTTGTTATTATTAGTCAAGTAGATGGTAGAAGGCAACAGGACCCTCTGTTGCCTTCTACCATCTACTTGACTAATAATAACAAAAAACAACCACCACCAAAAACCGATTCATGAAATGTTCAGTTGTAAACATGTAAAGATGCTTTGAGTACGTAACCTTCAGTCTGTGACTATCCTTTTCATGAAAATTGCAGGGAATAAACAAGGTGATCAGCATCAGTCACTTATAAGCCTCTGAAATGACTGCTCCTTACAGTCACCTCATTTAGCTTGAGCGGAGGACATTTCACAACAGTGAACGCTGTAAAAAGAACGGTGAAGGGTAACCCCAGGGGAAGGTAGGAGAGGAAGTAACTTTTAATCCTTCAAGGAACACTGAAAAGCAAGAGATAAACAGATTTGTCTGTTTCACTTTCCATTTCTTAGCATTTAACTCAGTGCTGTTGTATTCCAGTTTCTAGCACTGCAGGGGGATATTTAGATTCCACCTCCACAAATTTGTCAGTGAATGTTTGAAAATACACAGAAACAGCTGGATACAAGAGTTTATTTGAAATCTTGAGACACCTATGGATTTGCATACCAAGAACAATCTAATTTCACAGTGTAGAGTTTTAATGATTAATATTTACTGATATCACCAAGGGGAAGTTAAAATTTGCTCTCTTACCTTATACAGTGTAATCTGATGATCATGTGGGAAGTGTAGTGTGGCTATAAAGAGATGAACAAATTTGCTTTTCTGTCCTGCTTTGTGAATGCTCTTTGCGATGAATTGGCTGACAAAGTTTTTACCCGTGCCTCCCCAGCCGTGTAGGGAGAGAGCGAGTGGCTTTTTGGGATTTGGGTTGTTTCTGAATCCAGTCACTGCTTTCAGGATCACGTCTTTGGCAAGGTGCTGTCCAAAGAGTTTATTATCCAGATCCTCCTTCAGCGCTGAAGAATCCAAGGAGAAAAAGAAAGAAGGTCATTTTAGAAGAACAAGGATTTCCGAAAATGGCTTGCAAATTGAATGGTATCATGAATCCCATTTCTCTCTCTCTGGGCAGTCTGGTATCTTTATCCCACACTGGGAAACATTAGAGGTGACTCAGTAACTGCGCTAGGGAAACAGAGCCCGATATTGATTTGCACTTACACCAACGATCTCAAAGTGTTTTAAGAACGCTAACGAACGTGGCTCCCAGAATGTCCAGCAGAGGTACCTGAAGTATCAGCCCCATTTCACAGATGGGGAAACTTCAGACAGAGAAGGCAAGTGCTTTTCTCAAGGTCACATTGCCAAGCAGTAGCAGGGCTGGGAGTAGCACCCCAGGGTGCTGATCCCAGTTCTCCGCTCTTTCCACTAACCCACACTCTTTCCCCTTGAAACCCAGGGTCTATCCCAAGCAGCTCTCCTTTCTCCCATGTCACCTCCACCGGGCCAGCTTGGAGTTGCTGGTCCACCAAGGCTCGGTCCCACTTTCCCCGGTTACACTGGGTTGCCCCTTGTGTCCCCTGCCGCCCAGTTCCAGCGTGGAGCTAGTGCCCTCGGCAGCACCAACCCAGTCCGCTCGGGTTCGATCCCGGTTCCGTTGGGCCAGCCCCTGCCTCGGCTCCCCCCCGGTTCTGATCCAGCTCCCCCGCCTGGTTCGGCCCCCGTCCCGCGGCTCGGTCCCGCTGCCCCAGCCGGCCCGGTACCGGTGGTATCGGGCCGGTCCCCCTCCCGCGGCTCTGGGTTCGGTCCCCCTGCCCCCGCCGGGCCGGTACCGGTGGTATTGGGCCGGTCCCCCTCCCCCGGCTCTGGGTTCGGTCCCCCTGCCCCCGCCGGGCCGGTACCGGTGGTATTGGGCCGGTCCGCCTCCCCGGGGCAGCACTCCACGAAGCCGCAGTAGAAGCTGGGGTAGGAGAGGTAGCCGGTGAGCACCGAGGCCGCCCCGATGGCGATGCTCAGGCTGATGGGCTCCAGCGCGGCCGAGCCCGGCACCAAGAGCCAGAGCAGCCCCAGCAGCAGCTGCATGGCGGCTTCAGCTGGCCGGCCCCGTCCGCGAGGGAGGCAGCGGCTCGCCGCCAGGGCCCGGTAGAAACTACAACTCCCGACGGCCCCGACGCCGTGTCCAGCACTTCCGCCACGCGCAGCGCTCGGCCGCCATCTTTGTGAGGGCGGGAGTTAGATTCCCATTGCTTGAAAAGTGTGGAAGGGAGCGTTCGGACGACAGCTACTTCCGCCCCGCACGCACACGCTTCCTCCTGCCATCTTTGTGAGGGGCGTATGCAGGCAATTGCTTGGGAGGGACAGGGACACATGTTCTGCCCAGCCCAAGCCTAGGTGAGGCGGTGCGCTGGCTTCTGGCTCCCTTCAGGAGCCTGGTTTCCCCTGGTTGTTTCCCATCCTCCCTGGAGGGGGTGGGGGTGCATATTACAGCCTGTTTTCCTCACAGCTCTGGGGGTGCTGGTGTCACCATACCTTGGGGAGCAAGAGACCAGTTGAAAAGCTCGTCGCCGTCTGTGACGGCAGCAAGAATCAGGGGGTAGCCGTGTTAGTCTGTATCTACAAAAACAACAAGGAGTCTGGTGGCACCTTAAAGACTAACAGATTTATTTCGGCATAAGCTTTCGTGAGTAAAAACCTCACTTCTTCGGATGCATAGAGTGAAAGTTTAGCAAGAATGTTTTCTCCTCACGATGCAACGTGATGACGCCAGAGTAAAATGTTATCATCACAAGCTCCATTCTCCCACAAAGGTTCCCATGATGGTAGAGTCGCACCCTTTCTCTGATCCCACAGGCATTCTCCTGCATTATGTGTCTATCACAGCTAGGGTGACCAGATGTCCCGATTTTATAGGGACAGTCCCGATTTTTGGGTCTTTTTCTTATATAGGCTCCTATTACCCCCCACCCACTGTCCCGATTTTTCACATTTGCTGTCTGGTCACCCTATTCACAGCCCAGAAGATACCTTCCTTTGCATGTGAAGTGTCAGTGCTGATACCTTTCCCCATCATGCACTGGAATAGTTTGAACCTGTCTGAACAGTGCTTCTCTCTTATTTGTTTACCATTATAGTTTGAAAGCAGAGTGCCCTGTGCCAACACCCGCAGATAGGAGAGGTAAATCATTGCAGACTATTACAAAAGAGAGTAAACAGGGAGCCAACTGGGGTAAATACACAAGGGACTGCCAAAACAGCACTAAATCCTACAACCACCAAGAGAAAAGAGCCTGAAGGAACATTTCATTTTAAAATTCCAGCCGTTGCAAGTATAGTTGTTTGAGGATGGGGGTGACATTATTGTGTTTCTTTGTACATTTCAGAAAGCAAGTAGCTACTGGTGAACTGACAGTTTGGAAGACAATAGAAAAGAGAGTTATAATAGACAAGGTGAGTGAAGGTGGAATCATGGATGAGGATTTCAGCAGAAGTGAAGTTGAGTCACTATTGTGTACAGATCACTAGCCCCAGTAACCTTTGGTGTATGTTTAAGAACTCTGGGGCTCATTCTGATCTCATTTAGCTAGATCCAAGTCCCACTGAAATCAGCAAAAAGACTCCCCTTGGTTTAATTGGAAATTCACATTGGTGTAAATCAGAAGTTACTCCATTTAAATCAGTGGAGTGTAAAAGGGTGTGAGATTAGAATCAGGCTCTCCATTTCTTCCCCTTTAATAAGTAAGTTTCATTTTGTATTTTTTGCTTCCTCTGTTTTATTTCTACAAGTTTTAATGGGTGTCAAACTGTCCAAATGAAGTGGCTTCTGCATTTTTCAACTGTACATTTCCTCTTGGCAGACAAGTCTTTATGTAACCTCGAGGTTTGCTTTTTTGTCCTGCCTTCTTTTCAGTTCCATCAGAGTCATATTTCTTGTGCTAAAAATACTTTCTTTGTTGGCGGTTTGTCAGGGAGGAGTTACAGGGAAATTATCAAGTGTTAATCCAGGGCAAAAATGAAGGTGGTGTAAAAAGTAATTTTTCAAAACCTGACACTGACAGAAACCTTTCATGATTTGTTTGACTCAATATAAAAAAGCGTTTATTGTTTGGAGTCAAACATTTCCCTAGTGTGTTGCAACCAAAACATTGCAACAAGAGGTTAGAAAATTAAACTGACTTGCACCAAAAGCATAACTGACTAATATATCTTCATTATACCATCTGAGTGAATTGTAGGAAGGAAACACTCTGTGTAATTGGTGCATGTACATTTAAGGATCTAAGCTGATGGGTATTTTGGCAGATATCAATAAACTCATCTTCTTCCCCTCCCTTATCCTGCCCCAAGAATTTCCCTGACAGGATCCTTAAAAATATTTTAATAAAATGTTAGGGAAGATTTAAAAAAGCTTAGAAGTGTGTAGGGGCTTATTTGGGCTCCAAGCTTTTTAGAGCATCATTCTAAACTATAGCACCTCTGGCCTATTCTCTAGCAAACCTCTGTCCATAACCAGAGTTTTCTAGATTTGCTGTTAAAATCAAAAGCTCACACAATCATCATTAATAGAGACTGGTGAGGAATTAAGTGGGCAAGCAAACCTGAGTCAGTAGTTCTGTATATTGGGTCCCTTTTCTTCTGTTGCTTTTGTTTTTCCTTTGTTCATATCCCTGGAAAAACAAGGCAGGCATATCTGTCCTGCCTACTCTGTACTGCCTTCTTCTGGTCTCAATAGGGGAAGTTTATCAAGAATCCAGAGAGATAGTTAAGAATAAATACCATATTAATTTTATTTTACTTACAGCAGCATGTTTTGAAGGTAGGGAAAGGATGTACTGTATTATACTGAGATGAGGAAGTTATCTTCTCTCTCCAGTCCCAGTGTGCCACGGGCTTTAGATATGTTAAAGGAAAGTTCCCTGCCCCAACAAGCTTACAGTCTGAGAAGATACTGGTGGGAGAAGGAGAAAGAGACTTGCTTTCTTTTCCTCCTTGTCCTTGAGCACTTGGCCTTTCTAGGTATCCAGGTTCACCTTTGAGGCCACAGTTTTGCAACCTTTGCTAGAGTAGATTCTATCTTCACTGGGATAGTCGGACATTGCTAAGGCAATCTTTATGACGAGGTCTTCATCTTCTTGGTGGCCTTGGTAGCGCAGCTCCTCTTGGATGCACTCTTTCACATGTTTATATTCCAGGGGCAAGAAAGGGATGAAATAATCTACCAGGTTCTTCTGGATCAGCTTGCTATTCCAAAAACCACCTGGGGGGAGGGAGGGAGGAGAAGGGAAGAGAGAGGTATGTCTGTCCATCCATAGCTGGCAGAGGCGTAGCGAGCGCCCTCCGTACCTTCCAACCGGAGGGGGCCCCGCAAGGAAGGGGGGCCCTAAAAGTGGCAAAATAAATACCACATTCCAGTTTCTGCATTGTAAGGGGCCCCGCCCGGACATATGTTCGGAGGGGGCCACCGTTCGGAGGGGGCCACGTTCTTTGTTGCTACGGCCCTGATAGCTGGAATGACCACATGTCACCACAATGTTTTGTTCTTCTACAAAGCCTGCTATCTGGGGATCTGAAAGCACTCTACAAACACTATTTGACCTATGTGGGGAGGTTTACAATTGAGTTCTTTAAAATAATTATGTTTCAGGAATATATTGCTAAGTACCAGTACTTCATGGGTCATTCCACAGAGAACTGGGGCTGGACAATACACATGGGATCCCATGGACCTCACGAGCTCAGAAGTACTCACTGTTCCTGTTATTGAAAATCTCGGCAGATAGCATAGACTGCAGGTCCGTCAGGGGAATTTCTTCTCTTCCCTTCTGCCTCCTCCAATGATCGAGCGCCACCTCTGTTATTTTATCCCCTCCTGCGTTACTATTAGGAGAGAAATGAACTGGATCATCAGAATGACCCTCAGCAAAGTATTATCTCAGGAACAACGCAAAGGGCCAGATTGTACCCCCTAGATCCATGCATGGAAGGAGCCCTCAGTGGGTGGGTATGATGACTTGGGGAATCTATGCACAACGTATGAATTCTGTTCAATATTATGGACTCTCAATATGTATCTTTCTATATGTATCCATCAGAAGAAGAAATGGAAAGAACAGTGAAGCAGTTACAAATGGGAAAGCTGTAAGAATAGACAATATAAAGCTGAGCTGCTAAAAGCCAGTCGGACAAGTGCTGTCAAAGCATTAGGAAAAATATATAAGAAGGTATCGGAGAAAGAGAAGGTACCGGAGGAGTGGCTAACGGCAACATGTCTACCAGTCCTGAAGGAAGGAGATCCTGTCACTGAATAATTGTAGAGGTATAAGTTCTTCTGACTGACACGAGGGTTGGACAGATTCAGTTACCACATATGGACAGTCTCTTCTCGGTGACCAAGGAGAGCGTGTACAGCGAGGCCCCCGAACCTGGGCAATCAAACTGTAGCCTGGTGAAAGCCTATTAGCACCTGCTTCTCCCTTTGCCCTTGCTGACTCTGTTGGGTCACAGTTACTCACTAACCATTGGATTTCCTTACTTCAGGAAGAGGAAGATGGCCTTGCCGTAGTAGACGCCATTGATAGCCTCGCGATCACTGAGGTACGGCATGATGGAGTCAATCAGACCATGCGGCATCTGGTCCATTTCAGAGAAAATGAAAAGCGACCTCGGACAGACGCTGACATTCCCTCGAATCCAATTCTGCAGCTGCTCCTGTGGGGACGGGCAAGATGGTCGGTGAGCAGGGGGAGCTGGAAATCAAGATTGGAGCTGGATTATTTTTTCGTGGGGGATTCCACCGGTGCTCTAGCTTGGAGGGACTATTAATGTAATGCTAGTGATACGTAAAGGTAATCAAATCTCACATGTTAGAGTCTCCCATTGACTTCAATGGGAGCAGGATCAGACTCTCAGTATGTCCATGTGTGTCGGCGAGGTATTTGTCTGGATATTGACTTCCATGAGACATTAGGTTTAACTGTTTCCGGAAGGTCTAATCCTGAACTCATTAAAGTCAATGGGAGTTTTAGTTCAATAGGGCCGAGGGGGGGGGGGCAGAAATACTGAAAAAGATGAACCAATAATCTGATGTGATGTGGTAAATTCTGTCTCTGTACATGAGGCCTATAGATTCCTTGCGCTATAGTTCGCTGAAAGAATATAGTCAGATAGAATAGGTTTCAAATTTGACCTACTTCCTAAATGTTATAATCTAGTGACGAATGTTTAAATCCTCTTAAAAAGTCCAGTGTTTATGTAGGACCTACAGTAATAAATTTGGGGCAAACTGTGTGGCTAAAGCAAGAACTGGCTTGGACCTCAGTTCAAACATTGAACCAACCCAAGTGTTTGGAGAGGTTCAACAAGTTTGGCGAACTTTGTATAATTTTTCACTCCCCTCTGCACGGTCTGGTTATGCCCACGGTGGGAGCAGAGATGTTGAAATTCCCTGGGCAGTGTTATTCACATACAGCCCCATATGTGATCTGCATGCAGGATTATTGACCTATCCACCTCATTAGGAGAGTAGAGTCACAAAGGAAGTACCTTATACTGCTTTATATGTTCAGCATGTGGGAAATGCAAGACTGCGTCATACTGATGGACGAATCTCCTCCTTGCTTCGTGACGCTGGTACAGGTTCTGTGCAATGATCTTGCTGACAAAGGACTTGCCAGTGCCAGTCCAGCCATGGAAGGACATCACCAGGGGCTTCCTGGGCTGTTTGTCTCTGGAGTACGCGTTCAGTGCTTTCAGAACCACCTGGGTGGCGAGGTGCTGCCCAAAGACTTTCTGTTCCAAAGCCATCTGCAGGGCTGGAGGCATGATGGGAGGTCAGTGTCAGGAAGTACTTCATTGACCCTCCCGCCCCATGCTACTGCTGAGCCTCAGACATGGGGAGAACATTCCCAGTTAGCATTATCATGGGGCCATTTCCCTGTGTAATGGGAGCTGTAGGCACTGAGCTGCTCCCTGTATCTGGCCCTCAGCGGCTGTTAATGGGAGCCAAGCGCTTGCACGGGATACCTGGAGACTCCCAATATGACTATCCCTCATAAACGGCCCTGGGATGTGATCCTGTGGTTCTGGGGGGATGTGTTTGTTGAAATTCCTGGATCCTCTTTAACCACCTTGGTGGCATGTAAGGTACCTAATAGGTGAGGTAAGACGTCTCCCTTGCTCCCCCCCCCACCGTTCTCAAAGAAGAGCTGACATTTCAGTGGCAAAAAGCACTTCAAGGAACACTGCCTATAGGTGGAGGAAATCTGTGTACCTTGAAGTAAATGGAGCTATGCTAGTTTTCACCAGCAAAGGGTCTGGCTCAGAATCTGCAGCATAGTCCTGCAGGGAAAGGGTTAATTAAAGGCCTGTGTTACTGGTGCTGAAAACACAAGAAAGGGGATTTCCCAGGCTGCCAGGCTCATGGTTTATGGAAAGTTTCCAACAGGCCATTTATTGATCCTCTCGGTTTCCACTTCTCGGCACTAATGCCCCGAAGGCAGGGCGAGAACTGCTGCCCAACTTCCTCTTTGGGGAGGCTGCTTGCTTCACAGACATGAGAGGCGGCAGGGCTCAGAGGCAGGGCGGGCTAGTGGAGAAAGCCCGGGACTCTGAACCTAGCAGTCCTGAGTTGTTATCCGACCCCTAGCCCTGACTCATGCGTCCAACATTCTCACCAGTGATGCTGGGTTCTGCACAGGGGGGGGCCAGGGCCCCACCGCTTTTTACAAGTGACAGGGGCG